AAAAAAAAAAAAAAGCCAATGAAGGAAAAAAAATCGCTTTCCAAAATAGGCCTACATTTGCCGGCTAACCTGGTTGTGTGCTTATAATGGTGGACATAACAACGCCACGTACACGCAATCAAGACTACATAAAATTAAAAACAAACTGGTTATCTTCATATTTTAATTCATTATATCATTTTAATTAGCTTGGTTTTGACAATAAATTTAGGATTTTATTACAATTTAGTTCAATTGAATACAACTATTAATAATTTTTAATGTGAAATACGAACATAGACCGTATGTGTCATGATTATGGACAAAAATATAAGTTTGCTCAACTTAGTGAGTTAACATCAATTAATCTATACTATATATTAAGTAAAAGAAGGTTTTTAACCCCAAGTCTTGTGAGAGCTCCAATCTTCCAATCTAATTTTTCTGATTTTTTGATTAAAAAAAAAAATCTTAACATTTATTAACTTCTCCCAACTCCCAAGTCCTACCCTCATAATAATAACACTTTAATGTATTAAAAACAAACATAAAAAAAATTCTTTGAAATCCAACACATATGAATTTCTTGAAAAGTCCCAATACATATGATTATTATCCCTCATAATAACACTTTAATGCATTAAGAACAAGCATAAAAAAAAATTCTTGAAAAGTCTAACACATATGATTATTATCAAAATATTAAACTTTAATATAATATAAAAAAAGGAAAAAAAGAAGGCATTTAAAAAAAAAGACATTTAAAAATCACAATTCACATATATAGATAATTGTAAACACAATCCGTGCATAGCACGATTGATATGTTAGTATTATATATTAAGCAAAAGGGAGTTTTTAAATCCCAAGGCATGTGAGAGTTTCAATATCCCAATCTGAATTTTTTAAATTTTTTATTTAAAAAAAAAAACTCAGAATTTATTAATTTGATCAAAATTCTCTGATCAGCATTTATTAACTTTTTTCAATCCACATGTCTTTTCACATGTCTGCATTTATTGATTTGGTCAAAAACTCCTGATCAGCATTTAAAATCACCTCATACAAATAATTATAGATACAATCCGTATATAATTACGGCAGCACCCTTTTTAACTTCTCCTATACACTATGGTTAGTGATAAGATTATTAAATTATTTTTATAAAAAATTTTAAAAAACATAATTTATATATTGAAAAAAATCTAAAACAAATATAAACATCTAAAATTATCCCATACATAACACGAGTTTTTTTACACAATTTTTTTTAAAAAAAAGTCAACAAACGAAAAAAAATCGCTTTCCAAAATAGGCCTACATTTGCCGCCTAACCTGGTTGTGTGCTTAAAATGGTGGACATAACAACGCCACGGACACGCAATCAAGATTACATAAAATTAAAAACAAACTGGTTATCTTTATATTTTAATTTATTATATCATTTTAATTAGCTTGGTTTTGATAATAAATTTAGGATTTTATTATAATTTAGTTCAATTGAATACAATTATGGGTAAATTACATTTACTTCCCCTGAGGTTTCTGACAAATACAGGGACCTCTCCTGTGGTTTGAATAATTACAGTAACCTCCCCTGCTTTACCTGACAATATCAAGATTCCTTCCTGCTGTCAAAAATCACTAAACGGTGTTACTTTTTCCTTAGGAAATTACCTTATTGCCCTTCCCTTGAAAATATTAAAAAATGTTTTTGGATTGAAGGATAGGTTTGGAGTGTTTGGAACAGTATTTTTGGATTTATTTTTTTTAAATATTAAAAAACGTTTTAAAAAAAATTATTTTTTATTTTAAATATATAATTTTTATTTAAATATTTTATTTCATTTTGTAAATATTTTAATATTATAATTTTAATATTTTAAACTCAAAACACAATTTCACACTCAAATCGTAACCAAACACATAACTCAAAACTCAATTCAAAAATTATTTTCAAACCTCATAACCAAACACATAACTCGACACTACTTTCAAAACTCTACACTCAAATCGTTACCAAACGCCTAACAAAAAAATTAAAATATTTAAAAATATATATTATAAAATAAAATATTTAAAATAAAAACTATATATTTAAAATAAAAAATAAAATTTTTTAATTTTTTTAATATTTAAAAAATGTATTTAACATAAGTTTGTGTTTGGTTATGAGTTTTGAAAATAATTTTTGAATTGAGTTTTGAGTTGTGTATTTGGTTAAGACTATGAGTTTTAAAAAGATTTTTGAAAATTTTTAATTGGAATTGTGATTCTAAAAGAGAACCAAACATGTTTCTAAAAAAAAAAAAAATTCGGAACATGTTTTTATTACTCAAAACTCAATTCAAAAATTATTTTCAAAACTCATAACCAAACACAAACTTAAAATTCAATTCAAAACTTTTTTCAAAACTCAAAACTCTTTCCAAAACTCAAAACCAAACTTTTTCAAAAACTCTATTTTAAAAGAAAAAAAATTTCAAAAAAAGTTTATTTTATTTTTTAAAATTATTTTTAGAATCATGATTTAAGTGTGGAGTCGTATTTTGAGTTATGAGTTTTGAGTTGAGTTTTGAAGAAATAAAATTTATTTGGTTATAAGATTTGAAAAAAGTTTTAAATTGTATTTTGAGTTTTGAGTTGTATTTAGAATATTTTTAATTTTTTTTTAAAATATTTAAAAAAATTTTTAATTTTATTTTTTTGGGGTAAATATTTATTTATTTTAATGTGCACTGCATTCATACATTTGTTATAGCGATCCCGGGTTTACCCTTGTTGTATAGTGATCCGGACATGTGTCCGTGGATGATAGTAATTGATTATTACCTGGTGTACATCCTTTCTTTCTTTGTATTTGAGTTATAGGATGTGTTGGGCAGGTTTGTTACAGGTTGGTTGAGTTTAGAAACCAAAACTAGTTGCCCAGATTTTGACCCGTCCGCTCGAGCGGGGGCACACCACCTCATAGCCCACCTCATGTGAGAGAATTGACAACTTTCTTCATCTCTAATAGTAGTACAACCTTAAACTTTTGAAAAACATTTGTCATAGATAGCATTAGTTGTAATTAAGGTTGACAAGAAAACAATAAAATTGTTAATCACATATACCACATGCATAGATTTATATGTTTACTACTATAATATGAGAGGGAGTTACATATTGCTACAGTAATTTATAGCTATCTTTTTTTATTCCCATTTTTCCCTCATATTTTGTTCAGACTACTTTACTATGTTTGGACTATTTTATAATTTGATGGCCCAACTCTGTGTTAGATTGCCATGTCAAGGTCAGCTGCTCTCATTATTGTTCACATGGCCACTCCCTTTGTTTGATGGAGAAAGAGCACGTCTCCATCATTTTACACTCTCTGCGGTTCAGTCTCTGTGGAAAATCTCGAACATGTGGATCACAATTGGTTCACGATCTCGACCGAAGATGGGGTAACAAGGAAGATCTCCACCGAAGATGGGTTCACTAAGTAATTTTTTAACTGAGCAGGTGAACTAGAACTTCATGTTTCCCTTTTATTTTGAAATTTGCATTAGTAGGGGATGCTTTGGAACTTATGTTGCACAATATTGATCTTGGAAATCAGTTTTTTCATCTTCTTATTAGCTGGAAGCCATTAAGATCTCAAAATATGTTGCTCAGAATATGGTGGGCAAAGGACATGGTATGAATTCAAATTCCTCTGTTCAACCTTTGATCCCCTTTTTACTCTATTTACCCTTGGTATACTTTTGTTGCTTCCTTTATTTGTTTCCCTTTTTGCAGCGTTTTTCCTCTTTAATTATGTTTCGAGTATTGTTTAGTTTAGGTAGAGAATACATATAATTTATTTAAATTATGGTTTGTTGAATTCTGGAATTAGAGCAGTGCCACTTTCATTTCAGATTTGGCTGATGCTGTGATTGAAAGTCTTCCATACGTTGGAGCGATGGCAGTCTCAAATCTTGAAGCTCGACAGGTCCAACTTTGGACATTTATATTTATAACATGGAACTAATAATACATTTTTTTTGCAGTTATTTTATTCCTTGGTGCCTGCACAAAGCCTCCTCGGCTGTCCATGGTGACTGAATACGTGGAAATGGGATCATTGTATCATTTAATCCATGTGAGTGGGCTAGAAAAGAGACTCAGCTGGAGAAGGAGAGTGAAAATGATATGTGATATATGCAGGTGCATTTGACCATCAACTTTTCCATTGCTCTACCTCATTGACATATCACATTTATGTTGGTACTACTGCTAAATAAGTAACTTATGGTTGCTTTTGGAGCTCAGTATATTTTCTTATGTTGGTATATTTGCTTTTGCATTAATGAATGAGCATTCCTTCACTACAGGAAATATCTGTTTTGTGGAAAATGATTACTCTTTTTTTTATATTTACCATAGGCCTATATTATTCAATTAAATGTTGAAGGTGTATTTCCTCGTTAAGTATTTTGTAATTTTTCAGCTGAGTTTAAAATGAAAAGGTTATTATTCCTTTTGTCATTTGCAATGACTACTTGTTCAAGCTTTTGCTGATTGGAGATTCTGGAGTTGGAAAATCATGTCTTCTTCTGAGATTTGCTGTAAGTGCTTTGGAATGTTTTTCACTCTCTCCTATATTTCTTCTTTTTAATGAAAATCTAGTTGTAGTGATAGACAAATTTGTAGTTTATCTGATTTTCCCTTTTGTAGTTTATCTGTGTTGCATCTATAATATATATAAATGTTGACATATATTTGTTTCTGTTTGTCTTTACATACATATATTAGGTTTGTGGATACCATATTCTGAATCTGAGTAAACAAAATTTGAATCTTACCTACTTTATAGTTGATGAGGTGATTAGTGGTGGTGGTTATGGAGACAAGATGTACTTGTAAAGTCTGATATCTGAAATGTTTACCAAACAAAGAATGATTAGAAAAGGAATGTTCTCACATAATTGATTATTTGGACTGCATATAATATAGGAGGTTGTAGTAGTTTCGTGGTGTTCCATTTAAATTGATATTGTAGTTTAGTTTTCTAACAATGTTATTATTTACTGGGAGATGGAAATGGGATGAGGGATCTAGCGGGATGTCTAAAGTTCTGTCAGAAGATGGGGGAGTAATGTTATTGTTTTACCAAAAACTTCTGATTTTGGCTACCTGCTATTTTTATTTACTTGTTTCTGCTACAGGTATCTATTCTGTTGCCCCTATGCCCACAACGTGGCTTCAAAAGGGAAATACATTGCTTTTGTTACCACAGAAGCAGAGACTGACAACCCTGAGGTGGAATTGAAGCCTGGCATAGACCTACTTGGACCTGTAGACGAGATATTCTTTGAAAGTTATGACAGATTTGTACTCCAAGCTGAGCCTTGTTTGATTAAAGTTGTTACGGGTTCAGTTTCTAGTTTACATCTCTTGCTTGCCCCTCTACAGATTTGTACTCCAATCTGAGCCTTGGTTGATTAAACTAAGAAGTTTTTTTAGTTTGAGTGAATTCATTTCTGGATTGCTTGTCTTGTTCTTGTGCTGTAAATTTTCCCGTACAGTGAATTTTTTTGTTGCTGTTCAGCATGTTCTAATGATTTTTTTTATCCCAAATTTATTCTTTTTTTGTGTTGTGAAACAAGCAGGAAACTGGAAATACTGACATCGAAGGCGTTGACTCAACCAATACTTGCTATGGTGGAACTGCAGCTTTATTCAATTGTGTCAATTGGGTGGAGAGTAGTTCATGGGATGGACGCTATGGACTTGTGGTCTGAACAGACAGTGCCGTATGATTATTTCCTTTGGATCTTTAATGTCTCTCTTGATTGTGACCAGTGAATTGGAACTTATTTTTTCCAATCCCAACATCCCAATCAATCAAATAATTAACAGCTGCTATTGCTATGCTTATAGGGCCTGATGCTCCTATAGCATTTGAAAGCAAATTCAGGGGAAACCATATGTCGCATGCCTATGACATTAGGTACTATGTAACAAGAGTGTTATTCTTTTTTTGTAATCTACGTCATTTAATAAATAAATAAATAAAAAAACTTGATCTGGGTATGGAAGGATTGGATTTAGAAGGAGGAGTTATTGTCCGTTTTATATGTGCATATGCATAAATCAAAGAACAGATTTAGGGAAATAGTCATATCTAATACTGTTAATATGTGCAATTAATTTCTCTTTCTGGTTTACCATTCGAAGCTTTCAGAGCACTTGAAAGAATAACAGAGGTTTAAACTTTGTTTCCCTATGTAGCTTTTGGTGACTGTTAAAGAGTTTGGGATGTACGGGAAATGGGAAATGAGATAAATTCTAGAGGTTCTGATATTGAAATTTTGATATTGAGATTCTGATATTGAAATTTTGTTCCAGAGGAGAATAATAAAACAGGAGTATAAATAGAGAAGAATAATAAAACAGGAGTATAAATCACACCCACTCACAAAAACATAAGATTAATGTGATTCACCTCAAAATTAAGACTATGTCCAGAGTCTGCATATACACAGTATCAGAACTACATGTCACAGATGTAGAAATACCAAAACATCCTTACTCCAGAATTCGGGTAAGGGCTAAGGACCTGAGCCCCCACCTTCAGGCAAGGGGGTTCTGACCCCTTGCAGCCTCACCAACTGAATTGTGAAGGTTTTGTTTTTTTTTTTTTTGAACAAGGA